AGGGCTTAGGATCGACTGACTCGTGTGCAACGGCTGTTCACACGAAATCCTTCTCCATGTCAGTCCTCCAGGGCCTCGCTGGAGTATTTGCTATTACCACTGTATTCTTACATTGCAAATTTAACTTATACCTATACTTGTAAAAAACAGGTATAGATACGAGCAGTAACATCACAAAGTGCCGCTAGCGCTATCTTATGTCGAAGGCTCCAACCGTACAAGATTCGCGCATGCGCATTGGGGACTTGGGTGAATGATGACATGGACGTTTCTTAAAAGAAAATTTTCACATTGAGACTTTCCATTCATATTACCTCCGTTCACGATACATGTAGAAAAAAAATAAAGACACATTTATTATATAATTTAAATCCAAGGTATCGATTAAGCCTATTAAAAATACGATCGGTTCAGCCGTTATTGAGGTTCAATAATCTAAGGTACTCTCAATTGCTCTCAACTAGCCGACTCGCGTATAGATATCCGGGGTGCCTCGCTGTTGCTGCGCATGACTTGGCGCGAGACACTACCGTGTCTCTTGATGCGTGGAAACAGTTGGTTCTGCCCCCCCCCCCTACGGGGGGGGCTCCACTTGCGGAAGATATAACCTAACTCGAACCTATTTCCGATTTAGTTTCGCGTCCAAAGCACAGGGCGATATGGAATGGAACTTGCTTCGCGCAGAAAGTTGCAAACCCATGTGAAATCGTTTAATTATAAACCTCGTTTGACGTCTGAAGCACAGGGCAATATGGAATGGACCTCGTTTCGCGCAGAAAGTTATAAATCTATGTAAGATCATATAACTCGATAAACCTTTTTCGTTAAATATCTCAAAAACTATGCAACCTCACCCTTACAACATATGTGAAGGTCAAGGTCATCGGCAAAGTATAAATGTAAATCCGCTAATGTAAATAATTATCGATTCAGTACCATTTTTTCTTAAAAAATGGCTTTCTTGTAGGAGTCGCCAAAATTCCTTTTAGGATTTTTCATTTCAACCTGAAAGGAAGCTTTTCACAAAGTTTCATCAAAATCGGAGACGGGCCCTTTTCGGAACTCCACCCGAATTTAATTATTTAACTCATCCTTTATGTATGAATAAAAACGGTGTAATAGATATGCACAATCTGCAAAACTTAAATCTTTCTCTCGACACGCTCTGCTAAAGATGTAGAAAAAATGATGAGATAGATAAGACGTGATACTCCAGTTAAAAAGAGACAAAAAATGAAATTAAAATATATATAATCGAGAGGAGTGTGCAACGTTATAGTACGCAACCGTCTACGGCCTTACGACGATCTTAACAATATGTGTTATGGCTGACGAAGAAGTTATGGTTATTGAAGATGACAAGGATATCATTCTCGAAGATGACAACTTGATGGAAATTGAGAATTTGTTGGACGATTCATCAGACGAAGACCGCGTACTTTTGAAGGATTCCGATTACGATAGTGACTGCAGTATTGATATTATTGCACATGCTGTTTTATGCGAATTTCAGACTTATTTTCGAATATTCGTGTTGTGCGAGAACATGAAAGTGCAATTTATGACCTAATCCTGGGATCGTCTTGCGCAGAATGTAGAAAACCGCTGTATCAAATAATGCCCTGCCTATCCGCCGGACCCCTCGCCTATCGGTTTCGCCGTGGTCTCTCCCTTCCCCGCGGACCCCTTGCCTATCGGTTTCGCCGCGATCCCCCTCTTCCCCGCGGACCCCTCGCCAACCTGTTTTGCCGCGGTCCCCTTCCCCCCTCTCCGCGGACCCCTCGCCTATCGGTTAGGACGCGGTCCGCCTCCCCCTCTGCGGACCCCTCGCCTGCCGGTTTCGCCGCGGTTCCCCCGCGTGACGTTATACCCCCGGCGCTGGTTTCCCTTCGCCCCTCACCCCCCCTCAGAAGACCAGCGTTAGAACTCTCATAGCTATACTACTGACGCGGATGACTCTGTACTCATACACGGAATCAGATATATCGGTATTCCCGGTTTGTACGGATTAATCTTCAAGAGACTTCCCGATGATCTTATATATACCGAAAACGATAAACTAACGTACACGAGTATACTGTTAACGACAAACGCTCACAGACGCAACCATGACGTTAGTAAAGCTGTTTTAAGAAATAAGGGACAAAAATATAAAAACGTCATCGCTCCGCTTATCCACAATGACGGCGCGAAAAAGGCGTACGCGGGTCGCATGCCATCAACCATGCGAGTCACAGGCGAAAGAGTCGATTACGTTCACTGGGACGATCCGAATGAATTAGTGGATCGCCTGCAATTACTCGATGCTTCGCGTCAAGCTGGCAACGATGCTCACGACAACGAGATTATATCGATAATCGAGGAGCTTCGCGAAACAGGCGCTATCGTATAAATCTAATCATCGCGTCGACGGCCGCCGCAGTTGTACACGAGATGAGCGCGATATCGACGCGATGTCCGTGAGCAAATTCGGTATACCTCTGAAGAAACGCGGCTACGACGCGAAGACAGGAAGACTACGCCCAGCTATCGAATCTTTGCGAAATTACGTGCGCGTTAACGCGCTGTGTCTGGGTTCCTCCGTCGACTACGACACAAGAGAATACAGATAAGACGCCTAGCCTCGCCAGAGGAGGACACCGACGCGACAAGCAAGAGTTACGTCGAACTCGCTTTACGCGCCGTGAGAGAGGACGAGATCGGGTATCGCGAAAGCGTCGAGAGAATCATGTCGCAATTGAGAAAAGATACGAACGAAGTGAGACACACAACTGTCCTACTATTCACGAGAAAGCGAGGTCCATTGTGCCTGACTGGCGGAGGGGGTGCGGGAGGGGGGCCAAAGGACCCCCTTGCACCCCCCCCTGCATGTGTGTGTGTGTGTGTTACATGGTTTTTCAATCAGAACCGTGGTCAATATCAACGTGGTAAATCGGGACCGTGGTCAATCGGGACCGTGGTCAATCGGGACCGTGGTCAATATCAACGTGGTCAATCGCAACGTGGTCAATTGGAACCGTGATCAATATTAAGGTGGTCAAACGGGTGCCACTCGTTCACGAGACTCACTCAGCTCGATAACGTTCTGAGCAAACAGATAAGCGTTGTGGAGAGTAATGTTTCAAAAATCGAAACAAACGAGAACGTTCTGCGTAAACGAATAGACGTTGTGGAAAATTCCATTTCGAAAATCGTAGCGAGTGCTAACGCTCTAAATAAACGGATCGACGTTGCGAAAAATACGCTATAGCACTACGCGGAGCGCGGATAATCAGCGATACGGGAATTGATCGAGAAGTTGCGGTAGATTCCGAACGGGACGCAAAGTGATTTGGAAAAAATCGTGGTATCACGCTTTAGAATGAGCGTCAAAAAGCTAATATTGGTAGAGGAGTTGCACGCGCCCGCGAGAAGAAACTTCCCGCGTCGTCGCGTCGCGATGCGTGGGTACGACGACTTGTGGCAAGCGGATGTGGTCGAAATGCGTCCTTACGCGAGACGCAACAAAGGTCACAACTACATACCCTCGACTCGTCGAAGAGTACAATGCGCGAAAACATCGCACTATCGAAATGAGACCTATCGATGTAACTCCCGCGATTGCCGATAAACTTTTAAGTACGGTATACAGCAACGTAAAGATCGCGGCTCCGACGAGATTCAAAATAGACGATCCGGTACGCGTCAGCAAATTCAAAACGATCTTCGAGAAAGGTTTTACACCCAACTGGACCACCGAGATCTTCCGAACAGCAAAGATACAACAAACCAATCCCGCGACGTATCTGCTGAAGGATTCGCGCGACGAACCAATCGCCGGAGGATTCTACGAGCACGAATTGTCACGCGTTTCCGATCCCGACGTGTATCTCGTGGAGAATGTGCTGCGCCGAAAGGGCGACAAGATTTACGTAAAATGGTTGGGAATGGGTGAGTCGCACAACTCTTGGATAGATAAAGCAGTTGTATTATGATAAAAATGTATTTTATTTAAAATATAAAATTTTATTATAAATAAACTGTTATTATTTATAAAATAAACTGTTATTATTTATAAAATAGACTATATTATACTTATATTAACAATAAGCTATACACGTTTTATCGGTTAAAAAATAAAGTTTATTACAATTTTCGATATAATATGTGATATTTTTTGCTTTACCACGGTATTCTATAATGCCCCCATGGTAAAGTATCCGTAGTTCCGGGTACGATGTATCGCTTGTCGTCGTACGGATTGAGCGCGATCTTCGATTCCGACACCGTATACATCTCGTGTAACTAGGATCTTACGCAGGACTGCTCGCGCGTTATCTCGATCTCTCGTCGCAGACAGCGCGTGTAATCGTTGAATGTTATCGTTCTCGCGACGCTGCCGCTTTTAACGCCCTTGATCTTCTTCGTGTCGAGTCTACCTTCGACTCGCAGCGCGTACATCTTCGCTCTGAGCCCGACGAATTCCGTCATGATAGCGCCATTATTCTCGTCCTTCATCAAACCCGGCACTTTTTTGTTAGCGAAAGATATGCCGTACGCATTATCCACCGCGTAATCGCTTGTGTCGAATCTATCGATGTCGCGCTTCATATCCTCGTACATATCCTCGCACTCGACGCGATAGATGAGACTATCCGTGTCGGTGTACATTATCCTGCACTTGTCTCGATACAACGGTAACATATATTCGTAGTGAAATTCGTATAAACAATTCTTGGACACATCGAGAATGCACATTCCTACGTAAATCGGTTTGTTGAATTTAACCTCGAGTTTGCGCAATTCCACGGCTACGAGATCTTCCGCGAAAACGCTTCTGCTGTGAAAGTTCGGCTTCGCGATCATCGCCTCCGCGCCGTATCGCCCGTCCCATCGAGTCACGAGCCGGACATCGGAATGATTGCGCACGTTTTCCATAGTCTTACCAAACACGGCGTTATTCATCAATTTGTATAGATTTTTCTCGAATTCGTTTCTCGCGCTAGTTCGCAGTCGCGTGTTCAGTTCGATGTATCTGCGCAACCATGGAGATTGCGCGAATCGTAATATTTCATGTATCTTTGTAACGCGTAAGCCGTGTCGAACGCATTGTTGTAGATCACGATAATACGTCACGTAATGGCGCTTATCGTACAGCGTGGCGAGAAGTTTATTCTGTCGTTTTCCGGGCGGCTTATCGCGCGTCGAGCAAAACGGCAAGTCACCGTGAGAGTCATGAAGGTCGAGCGGATACGTAAGATCGACTTCTAGAATATAACCGATAGGCGAGTTCGACGTTATGGACATTAAGTTGATGCTCGTAACATCGTCGACCCATTGAAAATCTTTGCAAGGCAACGATTGACACATCGCCCATCCGTACAAATTATTTACGTCGAAATACATAAGATACGACGGTGGTTCCGAGGGATCGTACGACTGTACGTACTTGTTATTAGCGCGCGCGTATCTATTGGAACACTGACTTAGCCCGCCGCGTATTCCGCGTTCCACGAACATTATCATATCGATGTCGGTTAACAGCTCAAATCGAACGCCCGTATGCTTTAACATAGCGTCCCACGTGTATCCAGGTAACGTGTAATAGTGCGCGGGATCTAAACCATAACTTTTCGCACAGATCGCGTCGCGAAAATTTTCGAAGACATCGGCCAATAGAAGAACATCGGTTTTCAGATACAGATCGCTATAGTCACCCAACGTCTCGACGCGAAACCGCTCCCAGACTCTTATCGCGTGCGCGTAATCACCAGCGGATACGATATCACCGGTCAACGAACTGTAGAACGCCTCGCGCGGCGGTAGACAAGTCTCCCGCAACTTATCAACACTGTCGACATAATCGTACGAAAATACACCTTTTCGCGTAAGGAGCTCGAAATCGGCGTCGTGGAGATCGAAAAATTCAGAACGCGTGATCGTCAGCTCGCTCTTGTCGAGGTACGACGCTAATTTTTCGAGACTCGCGCTTACAAACTTGAAGGAATCCACGAAACGCAATTTCTCCCGTCTCCCGAACCATCTCCCGTTCGATGCGTGTTCGACGTTCTTCGTGAAGGAGATGTACGTTTTCTTCGTCAGCGGCAACAATTCGACGCTACCGGGAAAGGCGCTAGCCATATCTCTGATGATGAAATGCGCGTCGTAGCCCGATAAATTGTGAAAGAATATAGGAATGACGTACGATTCCTTATAATTTAGATTACAATTCGAATGCGCGGGACCTCTATATCGTTCGGTCAGATGACTGTGATGGCATACGCGAGCATCTTCCGGTTCAAACGGTTTTTCGCACACGTGACAATGCGTCGCGTTCTTGAATCTTTCCCATTCATCCGTCGTAAGATCCGCCATAGGCACATAGGTGTCGAGAATAATCCTCGCGCTAAGGGCCAGATCGTACAGTTCCCGGACGAACCACGATACGCAATTCTCGCCGCGATAAGCTCTGTACACTGATTTAGCGTCGTCGAACGCGCATTGCGCGTAATATCCCGCGCTATAGACCTTATGATGTTGAACGATGGATGTGTTCGATGTTCTCTTCTCCCCCTTCTTCTTTAGCGCGCATTCCAGATCGGCGTACACCACGAACGGAAGTCGCTCCTTTCTATTATGGTTGCGAAAATTTAGCCACTTGTCGTCTTCGATAGGAAGGACGATCGAGCACTCGTTCATTCTTCCGCAGTCCGCGCTGTGAGCCGATAAATTTTCGCTCGTTTAAAAATAATCCATGCATCTGCAACATGACACTTATTTTTTACATCGCGTACATTATTTATACTGTGTAATAATTTTCTTCTTTCTTATTAGTTTCGTGCTTACCGATCGCATATGTGCGCTTTATGTTGCCGAGCGCTCAATTGCGAGCCGACGAGACGGGACAAATCCCCGATACACGCGAAGTGCGCCGCGTTGTCTCGTCGCGTCATATCGCTCAGATACAACAGACTGACGTGTTTCTCCTTCTTGTCGTTGGTGAGACGCAGAGGAGCGATACCGCAGCCTTTCTTATTCTTCTTGTACCGTTCTCCAGAACGGTATACACATTGATAGATATATCGTTAAAACGCTCGAACCTGGTGATTCCGTTCAAATTCATGGGAAACTCGACGCCCTCCAGATTCAACACCGTTGAGTAGTGAGAATACCGCGAGCTTCTTTCCGTGTGTCTTTCGACCGGATATAGAGCGGCGACTACCGCCCACGCGAAAAACGCGTTATCCGTAGATCGTACATTAATCACCGCTCTTTTCAACTTGATCTCTCGCGGTATCTCGACGCGACATCCGGCGTGCATAGGATTATACCTGTTTACGTTCACCGTTGTCGCCCAAGACGAACTCGCCGTTGAAAGCGGTATTAACCTTAACGCTGTTATACCTGCCCATAACATCGCGTACTCGATCGAGCACGGTGTACCCGGCATCCTCGAGAAATCACAGAGGTTCGATGTAATCAAAATTAATAATCGCGCCGGTTAACACGCGTCTAGCGAAAGCCGTCTCGATCTCGAACCACGAAAATCCCTCGCGCCTCTCGACGCCGCCGCTTACGCGCTCGAAACGTCGACGCAGATCGTCTCTCGCGCCTGTCAATCGAACGATTCGAGCCATCAGAGAATTGATGGTTCCGGTGGATCTTTCCCGGCGCTCACCTCGACATTTTTCCCGTAGAGATTCGAGACGCTCGTCGCATCGTCGCGCCCACGCGAGATGCGCTTCCGCCGTCGCGACGTTTCGCGCGCTCTCGAGGAGATAGCGCTCTTCCATCGTTTCTCGATCTATTACTAATTCTTCAATGAACGCCAAGATTTTTTACTAATAAGCTACGTATCTTCCTCGTCGTACTCCTCGATGTAAAATAAAGCTCTCGTATCGCACGCGCTGCACCAATGATTCGACGCCTTAAAAATTTCGTCGATGAGATCGCACGCGCGCACTATCTGGCTGAGCACCGTTTTTTTTACGTGCGTCGATATACTTCTCGCAAAACTCGGTTCACGCGCGCAATCCGCGCAATATATCTCTTCTTCCCCGAAATAGTATCCGTCATCGAATTCGCAACCAAACTTGTAGAAGCAATGCACAACGTGATTCACCTTCCACGAAAATTTCGGAATGCCGTATCGCCACTTCTAATTGCGGTAAAGTAAATAGCGGTCAGCTCCAACGTCCGCGAAGAGTTCGTCAAATGGCGCGACGCTCGTTTCTCGCACGAATTTTTCGGCAAAATCGATTTTTTCTTTACAGTATAAACAATCCTTTATGTAATATTCGCGCAAGTCGTTCTTTAAACAATTTGGTATTTCTAATACTCGTATATCTTCGATATTTTTAATACAAGTATTCAATACTCTTCTGGCTAGTGTCGTTAAAGTATTCGGTGAATGCTTCATTGCATACGTCGCTTCGACAAAATATTTTAGAATAAACTAATATTTTAAAATCGTCGCGATCCTTTTATAGTAGCAAAGATAACAAGTCGCGAACCCCCCGGTCCCGCGCGCAGGGTATCGAACAGAGATAAAACGACACCCGCATCTCCTAATATATTAAAACAACGCATCCATCTATACAACGCATCTATTAATATTATATTATAACGCGCGCCTTTGTATCTCTGTACTGTTACAAAATAAAAACGCTCTCCTTTATTGCGAGAACCTCTTTTTATTCGACCTCCGTCTATTCGAGCGATAACCTCGACGCCGACCTATCCATCGATCTATTTATAAACCTACACAGTACGCATAACGATGGCAAGCGCGTTTCGTATTGCGCCGAGGTTCGCCCGCAATATTTTCTCATCTAATCATTTTCAATTTATCGTATTTACATGTCACGCGTCATCGCGACTCCCCGGGTCGGAGATAAAGCGACGACCGCGTCTCGCGCGACGCATCTCTAACGCACCTGACGCGATAACGCGATCTCCCGCCCCGATTTAGTCACCCCGTACCCCTCGCCCTCTCTTCCCGCTCGAGCTCCGCGGCTACCCCGACTCTCAAACCCGCTTCCCCCCTCGCCGTACGTACCCCCCCTATTTTCCCCCCTGCCCGATCTGCCTCCCTCGGATATCTTTCTATCTCGTTTTATCCACACCCTCTCACTCTTACAGGGAGTTTACAAAGCAAACTGGGTTAGAACTGGCCTTACTCATCTATTGATATAAATATTTATTAACAGTTATTGATACTTTTTCCAAATTTGCTTGGGCAATTCCCGTTAAAAATAAAACCGGAGAAAGTGTATCCAAGGCAATGAGTATTTGTTTTAAAAACCCATCTCCACAGCATAAGCCACCAAAAAATCTACAAACTGATAATGGAAAAGAATTTTATAATAAAGATTTTAAAAAACTCATGGAACAAAATAAAATTAATCATTATTCAACATATAGTGATAAATAAGCCGCAATTGATGAAAGATTTAATAGATCACTCAAAGAATTAATGTGGAAACCATTCAGTCTACAAGGTAATTACAAGTGGTTTGATATATTACCAAATTTGATTAATATTTATAACAATAGAAAGCATAGAACTATAGCAATGACACCGTGTGAAGCGTCAAGCCGTCTTGACAAGCCCCAAAGAGTCGCAACTTTAAGATTACCCGAAGGACTTAATTCAAGTAAAACCTTTAGAAAGCCGCCTGAAAAAACTAGTAAACTGCCTGAAAAGGCGCCTGAAAGGCGATTCAAAGTTGGTGATTATGTAAGAATCAATAAATTAAAGCATATGTTTGAAAAAGGATATACACCTAATTGGTCAACTGAAATATTTGTAATAGATAAAGTTTTTAAAAACATACCTCCATATTATCATATTAAAGATATGAAAGGTGAAGAGATTAAAGGAACTTTTTATGAACAAGAACTACAAAAAACTAAAATTCCCTCTAACATCTATTTAGTTGAAAAAATAATAAAAAGAAAAGGAAATAAAGTTTATGTTAAATGGCTAGACTTTGATAATACATATAACCAATGCATAAATAAGAAGGATCTAATCACTTCGTAAGCACTTTTGGTGATGAAGAATTGATTGTTTAGTTAATAAAAATTTTATATAATAAATGGAGAGGAAATGTTCCACATGTCAAATTAATAAACCACATTGTAATTTTGTTAAATCAAATAATTTAAAATATGG